AATTTATATTATAAAAAGTGTAAGATATCAAGGAAGCCATGATCCAGACTAACAAATAGTGGAATCAATTATTTAAAACGTATGTAATGCCAGCAGACTGCTTCCGAAATCGTCTGAATCTGGAGCAAGTGCTGACAAAGCCTATAAACAAAACGGAATTATATATTCTATTTAGTGGTTTTTTATTCTTCCTCATGTCTCAATCCTAGCTAGTTTTTTATTTCTTCTATACTGGTATTTCCTTTGCCCCCCACTCCCTCGATTTTACTTTTGCAAATTTTCTTTTGTCTCTCTCTTTCCACCACTTTTCCCACTAACGTATAATGTACCCTCAGTGTATCCAAACTACTACTAAGTTAATCTCGTACTATAGCTTTCGTTCGTTCGACCATAGGCGACCAACTATGGACAGCTGTTTCATGCTATTTGGCAACTCATCAGCATTGTCCAGGCTTTGGCTCAGTTGTATACACGGTGAATTTATTTTATTTGGATCTTACCCACTGTACATAGCCAGTTGAATGCGAAAATTTTAGATTCTTTACTACGAGTACTTTTATACATATGGAACCTTCAATTGCCAAACTATATTTCAGTCAGTGGCGTAACTTGCTTATTGATGATGGGCACCCGCAGGAAGTTTCCTCGGTCAGAGGGGGTGGATCACCGACAAGAGATAACTTTCTGTACAATAATTATATGGTACAATAATTGTACTTACCTGCAAAACTTTTTGAAGGGCGAGGGGTGAAGATTTTTTCGTGGTTGGGACGGTGGGTACGGTGAATGCGAAAATTTCAGAAATTCAGATAAATGTTTTTTGTTTTGCAACACGGAAATCCAAGGGCGGTCATTTTAAGTAATGTTACTTGATTATGAAAATCGTTTGAAGGACAGTGAAAATAAAATAGCTTTCAGTTCATCCCAAAGTTTGTTTTTGTATGCTTTACTTCCTGGAAATTTTCAAGGGTAATCAAATATGTTTGTGGAGAGGTTGCAATTTTAAAAAAACTCAAAAATTTGCTTTCATCGCTTCTGGTTGATTCAGGTTTGTGCATACTCAAAAACATTATGGAGCTAAAAAGGTTTGTTTCTTTACCAGAAGACTTATCTTGAGTCTACGTGGGAAGTACCGAGTCGCTGTTTTTTTTCTGGATTTTCTTTTTATTGAAGCTGTTGCAGCTGTAACCTAGGGCGCTAGAGATAGGAAGCATATTACTATCACCTAGCCGTAAAATCTAAGGTTCACCTCTTGACAATTTTTAATTTCGCGTACTTGCACCAGATTGAGAAAAACAGTTTGCACATGTCTTATGACTGATACGGCAGTAGCTACGCCACTGATTTCAATGTATAGTAGCTTTAAAGTACGTTATCAGTTTGGTATCGCATTGCATCTACCTTTAATCACATTCTAGAGTCATAATTATTCATATTTCATCCTAGACGTATTATTATTTCCGAAGTGATCTAACATGAAATATTATTTTATGCAGCAGTGTTGCTTAAAATAAGTATGTCACCAGTTGCTTCTTGCGATAGTCGCAACTGCGTCCTGATTTGAAAATGTCAAACGACGCTTCTAATATTTTGTGTATGCTAAAATGAAACATACTCTCATTGGCTCATGCAGGTCTAGGAACTAACAATACAAAATTTCGTGTCATTTTACATGTTGCGCCGATTTATAAGTGAAATGGTGTGAAGTAGATCGATTCGGTAATAGCAGACTTTTTTGTGGCTATAAAACATGACGTCTTAGAAAAAACTACAAATATACAGCGTGCGGGCTCGGTCGACAACTTCGTCATTGCGCATTGTATAATGAAAAGCTAATTTCAAAAATTGTAGCTACTCACGTGGCAAATATTTTTCTTTCAACAGGATCGAGGTGATCCAAGCATATATTTTTTTAAGTGGTAAGACTACATCTTAGTACAGATTTGGATAGGCCCTTTAAAACGATGTAATATACTTATAGGGTTTTATTTCTAAATTGCTGAGAATTTGGACAATTTATTGGAAAGACACCAATTTGACACCTCGCACCTCCGAAACTGCTACAGCTAGGCTACTGAATTTTTCGTCAGAAGAATTTTATGATCCCAAATTTTCTTCCTATCGACGTACTGTTTCAGTTTTTTCGCTAGACTATACAGGGTGGTGTATAACATAACAATGATTTCTAAAAATTTGTATATTTTTATACTTTTTAATTCTTGTTTCCATAAGTTTTTTCCTTATTAAGTTTATGGAAGTTTTTTCGAATGGTTTTTTAGTTTTAGTTACTAAATAGCTATATTTGGAAATCGGATATCAAGGTAAATAAAAAGCCTTACAATATCTTTCAAAATGGAAATTAGTAACGACAGATGGTTGAAATTACTGAATTTTCATTATACATTGAATCTATCTAGCCTTATGCAATAACGTCGGAAAGTCAATGAGATGTCCCTGTGTTTTTAGTGACTACTCAGAAACCAGTTATACCAACCCCCATAAACTTTATATCAGAAAAAGGCCTATGAACGGTGGAACCAAAAAGTTTGAAAATATATAGGGTGTTCCATTTAAAAATTTTGAGAAATTGTACATTTTGCATTTTTTGGTAAACCCTATATAAATTAAAAAAATGAAAAGGCAACTACATAGGAAGAAAATATGGAATAGGTTTTTCTTTAGCTATACCAGTTGCGGAGCAGCCAGTTGTCAAAGTTGAGTGTTCTTTTTTTAATAGATTGCCCAATAACTCAACAATATGAAAATAAAACGCTATGTTATGTTATGTTATGTCAAATAGCTTTGCTTGGAAGGGCTTACCTGAATCAGCAGTAAGATGAAGGTTCTTCCATTAAAAAATATTTGTTTCATTCACCCCGTAGAAATAAAAACATTTTCCAAGTAAGGGTAACATACTGCTGACTACATTTTTGTTATTAACTGTTTTAGATACCGTGCGCAATAATGGAGTTATCTACCGAGCCCCCACTAAGAACTCACAATGTATATAACAAAGAAATTAAATGGTTGAAGCCAATCACATAGGCCCATGCAATTAGTCCTCAGATCCAGTTCATTTGACATCGTTTGGATCTATTGCCTACCTAATATCCGACATCGTTGCGATAACCGTTTCGGTGGGTAACCTCGCCATCGGCAGCGGCCCATCTCGCGACAGGCGTGTTGTATGTATTCGTTGCGTTCGACGCAGTATTGAAAGTTTCTCAATGTTTCTAAATCTTGAGTGAAAATGTAAAGTATATCTGATAGGTGCCTAGAATTACCTGAGCTAGAACTGTATCAGATACACCAGCGCTATTTGTTTCTCGAAAAATTTCCAAAATCGCCTCTTGCCCGTAGCTCCGCTGCCACTGGCGTAATAAGTAATTACCAGAAAGTTGTAATCAGAACCCATGTTTGCAAGTGATATTTAAACCTTATTGTTCGGGCATTGTACCTAATGATTGTCAAACATATTTTAATATAACCCCACAGCATATCCCTCGCAAAACTGGTGCCGCCGTTATTTATTACAAGCATTACAAGCTTTTATTTAACTTGACATGTTTGCTTGTTAGTATGTGTGGGACAAATCTTGGAACTGAATGTTGAACCAGTTAACCTCATCCAATTAAGCTGACATTTTGTAGACATATTTGGTTTGTGTGACATTACGCAAGTTAATATACGCCATTTTGAATACAATATGGATGCTGCAAGATAGCAATTTAACATTTCCATAGTAACCCCTATATAATGGATATCAAATAAAAGGGCTTGATGGGAGAAACACAATAAGCAAAGAGACGTCATATATACGGACGTTTTATGATACTAATGAAGTAACAAGTTTTATGGAGTCCTATTAATAAAATATATTGAAGTTCGATAGAAATTAGTAAACTAGTTATTTGAGATAATAAATACTTGATAGTAAAAAATAACCTGTATTGGTCTAGTGGTATAGTATATATAGATATAGACATATATCTTTACCTAAACGTTTTACAGTGAGTGGCTTAAGAGATACCACAAGTAGCTTTTTCTGATGGCTCGCCCGGTATCTGCACAGTGAAACTTTGAGCCCCATTTAATAAAATGTCGTCAAGTAGGTTGACTCTGCACATCCTATGCAACGCCGTCATCAGTTCTTAAAGGATTAAGTTTAGCCCTCTGACAAAAAAATAGTTACGAATATGTACAATTGAGCAACTAAATGGATCAAGTCAGTCAAACAGGCCCACAGAATTAGTCCAACATATGATTTCCCTGCCCTACCGGTAGTATCTATCTATATCTGGCAACGTTTCCCCTTTCCATATCATCAAAAGAGGTAGCACCGAACGAAGCACCGTCGCAGTACGAGCAGAGCAATATAGCAGATCGTTACCCCGGGTGCGGAGCCCAGATAGCGGAAGTCTTAACGATAAATGTGCTTGGAAAATTATGATGCGTCAAATATGGCTAATAGGAGCGTAGAATTACCGGAGCTGAGAGCTTATAAATATAATAACAACAAAAAAATGAGATTTACCCTCCCCCACACCCCACTCTATATTTTTTCATCCTCAAATTTTTTTTTTAAAATAATCAAGATTTTCTACAGCGCCAAAAAGTGAGGTTGGAACGATTCTTACTTTTTTTAAACATGCAAAATTAATATATGAGTTATATAGTACTAACCCTATTTCCTGTTAAAATAACGTAAGTCCATAACCTGTTTTTGGGGCTTTCACCATTATTGTTATTTATAAAATGTGAAGGTTATTCGAAATTTCAATCTTCTAGACCTCAAATACTACATTAAGCCCAAAGATGCACCTTAGTGCTGGTTTAATAAGTCAGTGACACATTGAAAAATTCAAATTATAATTGAAAAGTGCATAAAGTTAATGTATAGATTTTTAACGCATATCACTAAAAATCTCAAAAACCTATTCAGTGGACCCGTGATAAAAGGTTAAGTTTCTACTTTTATTATTCCTAATAAAACTACTCACATGACTTCTTCGGCTTCTCATACTCCAAATCTCTCCTGAGCTGATCCTGTTCGTACAATGGTCTTTCGATGACGATATTACGAACTTGCGATACCTCCATCTCACTACGATGGTACATCTCTCCGCGGCGCCGCTTGTTGCGCGGTGGTACTCTCAGGCGGCACTAAATCCAATGGTAGCACCGCATTGCTGCAAGATTTACCTTAAATTTATAAAAAATGACTCGTTAATGGCGAGGTCAAACGCAGAAACTGCGATTAACAGTCAATCGAACCTCGATAAATAGGCGATGTTAGAATGGATTTAAAGGAAAGACCTTCACCTCCTTCCGGTTTTCACGTTTTCCGGGACTTCCTCCTTTGGGTTGAAGAACGCTAAGTTTAAACAAGTAGATATTCAAAGATCACATTATTACTTTTCAAATAGAAATATTTGTATACAAATGAATATTATTTATACTTGAGAATCATGTCTACCAAGAATACGTCAGGAATATTTTCGCTGGCCGTCAACGTGGGACAGAAATTTTACTTAAGACAAACATAAATTTAGAATTAAATAATCCTAATTTCACACAAGTGAACGGAATATTTTATATAATAACTAAGAGAAATCTCTACTAAGTTTCCTTTAAAAAATTGAAACTGTGCGTAACAGCCAATCGAACCTACATAAATAGGTGATGATGGATTGGATAAGCGCTTAAGAGGAAGGAGCTTCACCTCCTTCCGGTTTACATGTTTTCTGGAAATTTTTCTTTTGGGTTGAATAACGCTAAGTTTAAACAAATAGATATTCAAAAGTCACATATTTATTTTTTAAATAGAACAAGGTATACAAATGAATATTATTTTTCCTCGAAAACCTTGTCTAACAAGAATACGTCAGGAATATTTTTGTTGGCAATTAACAGGGATGCGGAAGGACGTGGGACACAAATTTTAATCAGGAACAAATATAAATTCAGAATTAAGTAATTTTAATTTTAAGCAAGTGAATGATAATTAAGAACACACTCGACTAAGTTACCTTTCAAAAATAAATTTTTTTTTATACTCCAACTACCACGAACGCCTAAGGCCTAAGCACCCATTGGGACTCGAACGCTAAGGCGGAAGAGCTTGCCTAGATATTTGCTGCCAATTCTATCCAAAGTACGAGTGTCGATTCAAAGGGTTCCCTACACTATACTGAAAGTGACCTTCAGGCAGACGACCGTAAGTGCGGTGCTCTTGTCGCTGGACATCAACAAAGCTTCTTGACTGGATTTGATTCCAGCCGTTTTACTGAAGAAACGTGCAGCGGAGGTTGCGCCAGTTCTTTTGCGTCTCTTCTCTATATCTTACGAATCGGACCCTGGAACAACTGGAAATTTGCTCATGTCCACCCCATCCCAAAAGAAGGATCTAAGACCGACCCTTACAACTACAAGCCTATAGCTCTGCTTTCTTTTTTAAGTAAGGTGATGGAGAGGTATATAAGACGCGACCTTCTGGAGTACCTTGATTAACGACAGGGCAGTATGGTTTCCGGTGCCAACGATCTATGGGGTCCAATGGGTTTCCAATGTCGGCGTTGGCGTTCGATTGCGTTTGCCCATTGATCGCTACATCAAAGGGAAGTTTGATTTGGTCTGGACGGGATTTGTTGCGCTTTTAGTATTTAGTCGCTTGTCTGCATTCCATCACAGGAGACTCGTAGCTCGACATTAGCACCGAACTTAACCCAACGCGGTCCAACTCGAAACTAAATTTAGGTGTAGACGAGCGTATTCCAATGCCGTCCAACAACAAACGCCAACGTCACATGTGCTTGCATTCATTTGCTCAGCGTTGGATTTTCAGTCTGTACGCAGCTTTATGTAAACTACCATCCTACTATGAATATTCCTGAGAAGCTTGGGTGGCTGACTGTCTCTCTGGTCGATATCGACGCCTCTACATATTTTTAGTTCATTTTATGAACAGCTTTCAAAAGCGTATCCTGTTATTTTATTTATTAGGATTGAGCGTTCAGTTCATCAAACCTGTGACTGTGAATTAAATAAATATATGAATGGTAGGTGATGTCAGCTAGGATATCTAATATCCTTATCTGAATAATCACTCAGCCCATATTGATATTCATCCAAGAATATAAATATTTATGAATGTTTCGAGAGGCAGTTTGTTTAAGATCTGCATATTTTACTCTATTAAGAGAAAACACACATTGCATGTGAATACTAAAGACATGTAGCAGAAAATCTAATACAGGCCAGGTCAAGCAGGTTTGGAGTTTAAGTATTTGTATTAGTCACGAACTGGGTTATCAAAATATAACCCGATATAGAGCAAATCAGAAATATCATTACTGGAAATTATGACTGAAAACAATAAAGTGTAAACTAGTGATAATATTAATGAATTATTTATTTGAGAAAAAGTTTACTAATGCTTCTTTTTCGTTTAGCCGTAATATAATTGCTACTCTCAAGCCAGGGAAGTACTATAATCTTGAAAATAGTCGAATTTTTTGTTTAATACGTTTCTTGCGTGGGTTATGATATGTTTACATTACGAGAATACATGCCACTAACTTCCTTTGGTCTTTCTGACCGCATGTCGATAGGTCTTACTAGTGTAAGGTCGTAATCTCAGAAGGCGTTGAATTGATTTAGAAAGAATTATATATTCTCTTAACATTTTTGGACGTGCCAAACATTTTTTGTATGTGAATGTTAATGCATTAAACTATCTTCAAAATGCGATATTTTTATTTCGGTGCAATGTCCGAAAACGTTTTCGATAAGTTTGTAACGGTATGTACTGATTTATCTGGCGCCATTGTTTAGTACACATTCAAGAAGTAATCCCCTGTATATATTCAAAACACATACTCATGGAGAACTTTTTTATATTCCTTAAAAGGTGTTAACGCAGAGACACACTTAACTGACCATATATAATCTTGTTATTGGTTTTTTTTGTAAAGTAATCTACGAGCCCCTTGCCACTTCAGTTGGCCCAACTATTGAAATATTAGTTTTTTTCTTATCAAACACAAATAATAAAAATGTAGCAGGGTGTTATAGGCTTAAAATATTAACAATGAATATTTTGATAATATATAGTAGAAAACACCAACTTTATCACTCCCTAATGAAATTTGCAGCTTAAAAATAACACATGTTGCAATTACAGCATATCAACCTATTTTCATTTCAACGCAAAATAAGTCTATAACGCATAGGTGGCTGTGAAAAATAAAAGCCATGACAATTGTTTTTATTAATCACAGATGTCAGAATACGTTTAAAATGGTATTGGGTAGTTAAGGTTTTCAAAATGGGTAGAGGAAAGGTTATTAGTGAGAAAATTCGGTTACTGATAATTAAATTTTTTAATTCTGGGAAATCAAACTCAGAAATTGCAACTTTGTTAGACTTGTCGCGGTAGAGTGGGAGAAATATTGTTAGAAGATATAACGTAACTGGTTTAGTTAATATTAAGCCACGATATGTGAAAAAAAGTAATATCACAGATGCCGACCGAAGAGCATTAAGAAGAATAATCGTGAAAAACAGGCGTGCCAATTATTTACAATTAAGTGCTCTGTGGAGTGACGCTGTTGGAAGGAGAATTTCGAGGTCCACAACTCATAGAGAGGCCCACAAACTGGGATTTAGCACCTGCAAGGTAAGTTTTCTCATAAAAAAAAGTGAGGTAAAAACCCTAAAGTTGCACAACTTGTTTATAGGCCAAAGAAAAGCCACTATTAACTCCACTGAAAAAGAAAAATCGGCTTCGATGGGCTAAAGAACATAGACAATGGACACCTCAACAATGGTGTGCAATACAATGGAGTGATGAGGCGCGATTCGAAGTTTGTGTTGGTGTCAGTCGCAGTAGAGTTATTTGCAAAAAAATGAAGCATTCCATGTTGACTGTCTGAAGAGAAAAGTAAAATTTCCAGCATCCATTATGGTCTGGGGCAGTATGTCATCAAAAAGAGTAGGAAAACGTCATTTTATTGATGGAACAAACAACAAATACAAACAAATATTTGGCAATTTTATAAGAATCGCTTTTACCAGTGATGGAAGAATGTTTGACATCCGGTCAAGATTTTATGTTTCAGCAAGATGGTCCAGCGTGCCATACCTCAAAAAAGGCTATAAAATGGATGGAAGAAAATAATGTACCACTTTTGAAATGGGTTTCTAGCAGTCCAGATCTGTCACCTATTGAAACTTTGTGGCACGAGAAGGTTCTACGAAAACATCCTGCTCGTACAATCACCGAACTGAGACAAAAGCTTCAAGAAATATGGGATTGTTTTACACCAATTTTTTGCCAAAACTTGGTTAACACTATGCCCCAAAGAATTTCAGCCGTAATAAAAAATAAAAGATGATGCATTTATTCGCACATTGTTTATTTGTTCAGATGTTCTATTAGTTATAGGTCTAAGTGATTTCAACTATGTATTTTTTACGACTAGAATGTATCTAAAAGGTTTTTGAGAAGATAAATTGTTTAAGAAGTAAATAGTTTCGTCATGTTTAGTTTATAAAGGCATATTTTGGTACAAATCTTGAAGTGGGCCAACTGAAGTGGGAAGGTTTGGAGGGTGGATCGTTTTAACTAGTATTTATCAGTGTGATTTAACCAAAATGTTGAACATTAAAATGTTTTAATATTAAACCTCCTACTCCTTCTGCCGTGAAAGTATTGTAATCGCGAACATTTATTATATGTTATATGACAAGTACATTACGAAAAACCGTCTGCCTATCGGTCTGTCCGCTAATCCTATAACAGCCTATACATTCAGAAGTAGCGCTTGGATTTTGATAAAATTTCTACAAAATGTTATCACTATGCCAGGTACGAAAAAGCCGTGTAGTTTCCGAAAATAGGTCTGGCGATGGCGGAGAATAAGGCCAAAAACGAAACGAAAAAATGTTTGTTGACGTTTCAGAGGATCTTTGATGTTAGTATCTTTATACGCTTTCAACCTTGGTAATTCTACGCACCTATTGGACATATTTCACACATCATATTTCCCCGTACGTAGAAAAATATTGTCAGCAGACGGATCGTGTATCCAACGGCCGCGTCTGCATCTGCTCCCGGCGGCATGCCGTCCGTCTTAGTGAGTGTTGTGGTATTTTACAAATTACTGCCGCGCCACAGCATAGTGTTTTTCATGCTGTGGCCGCGCTGCAATGTCTGACTGGGTTAGGTATCGGGGAGAGGCGATGGACTACCGGTAAGGTAGGGAAATAATTTCTATGGACTAATTGTATCTATCTGTTTGACTGCCGGGACAGTTTATGAACCAACAACGGCGTTGCATAAGAAGGGCCGAGTCAACGTACCTGACGCCATTTGTCTGATGAACGCGAGCAATATGCCCTCCTATGCAGATGATTAGAGAGACCCATTTTCGAGAACAAAAGGTATTATCCAATGAGATAAGATCAATATTTCTGTAGATTCTTACTCACCCTTAAAGCCCTAAGCACTACTTGACACGATTTTTGCACACCATATATCCATGAGCAGTTTATGATAAGATCACGAGAACACAACGAAATCTGCAGTGATATTATAAAAGTTTCGCAGACACATACAGCTTGATTACTTCACAATTCGTGTGATAGTACATGTATTGTTTACGAAAATCTCATTAATTTAGGAACAAACATTTACTTAGTGAACTCTTTTAATTCTCGTAGTTGCTACTTTAGTAATTTATAAGTATTAAACAGACCAGAGGCGTACCTTCAAGGTAGTTAGCAACAGATAATTTAGAATTAGCGCTGATCAGTTCACAGATAGCACTGAAGGTCTTAAAGATGTCTATTTTATGCACTAATAATGTCTGAATGCCTGAGGCATTAAAAAGACGTATTCACAATAACTGTATGCGACGTTTGACGAACATCTTGACACGACATAAAACAAACAGACGTTTTCTTATGTATTATAGAAGAGATGCCATTTTTAGAATTCAGCTTCGAAAAAAGTTGGAAATATTGTGAACGTATAAGAAATCCAAATGCTGGACACTCAACTAAACATTAAAGTAAAACATATTTTCTTGTTTACCCAACCGCGATTGAAATTTATTTTTAACAGCTTTTTGAGACTCATACAATTGTGCAAAAGAGCAAGTCGTTGAAGTTGTCAGATATCTGTATTTTTTAAGCACCATTGCCTTTTTCTGGAATCATTTAAACGTCAAGATTTATCGCGAACATTGTATTTTAACTCATTAATCGGCCACCAGATGGCGATGCATTTTTACTGGGCGATGAAGTAAAAAATTAGAAAATGCGAATTGTGGTTTTCGGATTTTATATGACATATGTCCGCTAATCCTTGGAGTGTCTATAACTTGAAAAGTACTGCACGGATCATAATGACATTTTTACACAGGGTTACCACTGTGTCAGGGAGAAGAAAGCTTTGATTTTGAAAGTAGGTCCAGTGGCGGCGGAGAATAGATAAATAATAAATAAAAACGCCTTTATTTTAAACTCGGCGAAGGCCAGCTATGCTGTTAACTTAACCGAGCATGTAAAAAGTAACAACAAGCCAAAAAGAAAAGTAATATGACAAGAAACAAGTTTTACATTACATTAATTTTAGAATATTACATAACAACAATGAACAATAATAACTACAGATGTACGTATACAAAAAAATAAGCAATAATAAACAACTTATACTTCACAGAAGCAGTTGTTTCAGTTTTCGTTTGAACATATTAGGAGACATATCTTCAAATTGACCTATATTGTATTGGTTTAGAAGTTTGACTGATGTATAGGAAAAAGGGGCTTTGAGTCATGGTTTTAGTTATTTTAGGTATTTCATAAAGTACATTAAAGCGTGTTGCACGAGAGTGAATCAGATTTCTACGAGTTAATTTTTCAATCAGATATGGAGGGCTTTTAGTTTTAATTAATTTATGAAGAAAGCAAGCAAAATGCAGCTTTTCTTGATTGGAAACATTCAACCATTTCAGTTCGGAAAGTTTATGACTGACATGATCGTGACGTCTAAGCTGGTAAATAAGTCGTATGCAAGAATTCTGCACTTTTTGGAGTTTATCCTTAGTAAATACATCTAAGCAAGGACCATAGACAAAGTTGCAATAGTTAAGGTGACACAAGACTAGTGCTTCGCAGACTTAAAACTAAGAATATCTTTACTTTTATAAATATTGCGAAGGTTAAAATAGGCTTTTTGTAGAAGCCTAGACACATGACTTCGGAATCTAAGCTTGTTATCAAAGATAACGCTCAAATTTTTATATTCCTGAACAACCGGTATTGCCACACCATCCATTACTATCACCAAGTTTACAGACGCCCAATCTTTAGCTGGCCCAAAGTAGATTATGGCTCATTTATTAGGATTCAATTTCAAGCCATGATTAAAAGAGTATTTAAAAACTGAATCCAAACACTCGTTTAGCCTCCTAGCCGCTTGAATTGCGCCCTACTTAGCAAAAGAAAGCTGAATCTGTGTATCGTCAGCATATCTATGATTGTTTATATCACCAAAGCACTTCGACATATCAGCAGTAAAAATGATAAAAAGTAAAGGACCTAAAAGTGATCCCTGAGGAACTCCTCTATCCACGTTCAAGGGTTTTGATTTAAGCCCATCAATTGAGACCGACTGCGATCTGTTATCCAAATAACTACGAATAAGTTGAATAGTCTTAAGTTTAAATCCATAGTAGAAAAGTTTTGCACACAGCAATGCATGGTTCCGGGTATCGAAGGCTTTGCTAAAGTCCAACAACACCAATGCCGAAGTTTCACCCCTGTCCGCAGCCAAAAGAATGTCATCTAGAACCTTCAACAGAGCCGTGGTAGTACCAAACCCTTTACGGAATCCAGACTGCAACTTGGGTAATAAATTATTCTTTGTGAAATAAGTAAGGATTTGCCTATAAATAAGCTTTTCTAATACTTTAGACAGCACTGGTAGTATACTAATTGGTCGCAAATCCTTAGGACTGCTAATTTTAGGCAGCGGCAGGACCACAGCCGTTCTCCATTGGGCAGGAAAGATGCCCTTTTGTATGCAGGAATTAAATAGGTTAACCAGCACGGGTAAGATCGTTGGACAACACAACCTCACCATGTCAAGGCTAATTCCGTCTGCACCAGAAGCGTTTGACCCAATCTCCGATATTGCCTAGAAAACGTCATTTTCACTAACGAGTTTCAATCCAAATTCTGCGGTTGTACATTTGGAATTAAGATATTTAGAAATAGTATTCGTATCGACAGTGCTAGGTATTTGTCGCACCGAGACGATAAAATATTGATTAATTAAATTTGGGTTTTTAAGATGGTTAGGAATTTCTATATTTTTTTTAGATCTGTTATAGATATTAAGTTGGTCTAGTGTCTTCCACATGTCTTTGGATTTTTTAGTACGACTGAAAAAATCAATATAAGCTCTCTTTTCTTGTCGATCAGCTGACGTAAAAAAATTCCTCATTTCTTTGTAGGATGCCCAATCCCGTAAATTTTTAGTACGTTTGTATTTAGAGAAAATATAGTTACGGTGATTCTTCATCGCACGCAACGCATCAGTAAACCACGGAGAAGGTGGCCTAGTAACTTTTTTCGCATATTGGCTCATGAGAATCAAAAAGAGTCAATATCATATCTGAGAGAATTGCAGTCGTTTGGTTAAGTTTATAAGATCTTGTTTGAAGCTATAAATGTCAAAGTGTTTAAAGTTACGATATTTAATAACTCTAGGCCTAACGGTAGAGATCTTAATATTTATTGAACAGTGTATGAGCTGATAATCGGAATGCTGATACAAGTCCTGATGATGGACACTGCCACTTAAGAGATGATCATCGGACATGATGATGACATCAATCAAACTGGCTGTGTCTCGGGAGTACCTAGTTGGGTTAATTACAACTTGTTTGAAGTTGAAAGTATCAAGCAAATTATTAAACTGATTGGTTATGTTAGTTTGTCGTAATAGATTAATATCAATATCCCCCATTATAATCAATTCATCTGTCACTGGGATTAAATTAGCTATTGATTCTTCCAGTTGGCGTAAAGCAGTCATCACATTAAAACGAGGAGGACGGTAAATGATGGCCAACCCCAATTTTATTTTGCCAATTTTGAGAATATACCATTGCTGCTCAAAAATTCCCCTCTGGTCCATCTATCTCAACTACTGTAATATCAGATCGAACATAAACCATATTCCACCCCCGAGACCCACGATCAACGCGATAAAACTTAAAATTGTTTATTTTAATTTCCTGTTCACTAACTTGTTCAGTTAACCATGATTCAGTTACTCCTAATATGTCCAACTTCAAATTATCTATCGAAGGCTTAATTTCGTTCAAACTTGGTATCAGTGATTGTACATTAATATGTCCTATCCTTAAACTATTTTCAAGATTCGTACTAGCCATGGATAAATTATGAAAATCAAGCAAGAACACAACAATTTTTTAATGTTAGTATATTAATACACTTGCAACGCCGGTAATTCTATGCACCTATTAGACATATTTCACATATCATAGATTTCCCCGTACATTTGCCCTTAAAACAGAAAAATATGTTCTCCTCTTAAGACGGAACAAAGTGAATATCCTTACGGAACAAGTTTATTTCTGGGTTGTTCTTTACGGAGATTGTTCACGACAAATTGCTATCACGCGACCACCCACTATACGAGGGGACTTGCATTTGTACATATAACGGAGGTTAGTTAGTTGTTGTTGCTCCTTACTTATGGTGCAGATTAGAGTTCTTCCATGCAACTGGGTGAGTACTGCAGTTTTGTTAGAGGTATAGGTACTTCCAACTTAATCCTCTATGAACCAATGACGGTGTTTCATAGCAAGTGCCCAGTCAACCTACTTGACGCCATTTTTTCAATGGGGACCTAAACTTGCACTGTGCAGATACCGGGCGAGCCAACAAGAACAGGTGTTTGCGGTATCTTGTAAGGCAATCATTGTAAAACATTCAGATAAAGATATTTATATTGAAAATGGCATGAAGAACATTACTACTATAAAGACCAATACAGATTGATTGATATCGAACTCCTATCCCTAACTTACCAAGTCACACAAGTCATCATTTAGGGTGTACCGCCAAGCCTATGTCATCATATACCTCCCTCCATATATTACAGCTTTGTAGTAATCGTAGTAAGTCTTATTAGACCCACCTACACCTGCTGTATGAAAATCTTTTCAAAGCATACGCCTTCCAAACTCTGTAATTTTAAAGCGTCTTGTATGCCCTATACCCTATAGGATATATTGGAACTTGGAAAGACATAATTACCACTTACCTATTCCCTGCTCTGACTAAAAGTAAAGCGTATTGCTGTAATCTGCTTACTCGTTGCTAGACGTGTTTTTGTCATAAATTCTAATCATAATAGCCGCATTTGATGACTTACCTGTAGCTGGTGGGCACACAGTACACGTTAAGGCTATTCAATTAGTATGTTAATTATGCTTTACCTCGGTAATTAAGAATAGCGTAACATAATGGCAGTCGATCTTTCAGGTTGCTGCGCTGGTCAAGAAGATTGAAGGAAACTTCTCAGAGTAGCCAAATCCACAAAGCATGTTCCTCCTAACTCCTAACTCCTGAGTTGCGTAGAACCCTACGAGCTCGTTTGCGGTATAGACCGAAAAAATTACTTTTCACATTTACATTGTACAGTAGTATTTGAGTGAGAAATAGTTAACGGAAAGCTGAAGAGTGTAAAGTGATATGGAAAAATGGTGTCACGTAGGTTGACTCTGAACTTTCTACGCAACGCCGTCATCAGTTCATGAAGGTTCAAGTTTTACGAAATTTAAATCCTCTGAGAAAAAGTCAGTTTCGGACACGTACAGCAGGGAAATTGAACAGATCAAGTCAGTTAAACAGGCGCATACAATTAGTCCATAGACAATACTTTCCTGCCTTATCTGTTGTTCCGTCCATCTTGGCAACATTATCACTTTCCACATCTGCGCGGCAGCGCCCATCCCGGCACCACTGCAGCAAGCTATCGTTCATTCCGTGTATATGTTTTGTGCGCTGCAGTACGGATAAATCAGTCAGTCGGACCGACACGCTAGGCGGTGAACTTCTTCATTCTTAGTATGTAGTATGACTGTGCCTGGGATCCGGCCGTGTGAATTCGGTCTATATAATGTAGCAGAGTGAACGGATATGTGTGGCGGGATTTTGTACACAGTCACTGACAGGTTGGCAAAATACAGTCATATGCTAAATAGTATGCATGCACGTTTATATAATCGAAACGTGTACGACGTCATAATAAGTTTACAAAATAACACTATAAGGATACAAATATGTATATTTATTATTCAGAATATGGATATTTAGTATGTCATATTTTTCTGTATTACACATTGAACGATTTCGAAAGCAATGTGAAGAAAGCTTTGTTTTTGTATGGCACATAATTGAGCTTCTACAGCTGGAGAAAAGTGTAATAGAGAGTATATGACATACTATTGATGCTCCACATCCAATGGCATCTACAATTTTAATTTTTTGCTCTAAAGAGATTTTCTAATTTTTGGCACGATTTCATCACACTAAAATTATATTCCAAACGCATGAGCTCGGTATAGTCAATTAATATGAATATTGAAAGCAAATCGTTAAAGTCGATGATCGTGAAGTTTTTACTCATTATAAACGGATCCAACTGTACCTCCATTTACACCAGATATGTGAAAAAGGCGTCAAATAGCTTAACTCTATGCTTCGTAAAAGATTTCAAACAAAAGGGATGAGTCAAATCGTTTCAAAAGACGAAATCGAATCGTGATTAGGAAGGTTCACTTTTGTACGATGAATTTTAGACCTCTGCATATATCTAAAACTATACAAAGCATTTTTTTCCATGATAAATCTAGGGAAAATATGTGAGACTTATTATGTCTAACAGTTCCATAGAATCACTGAGATCAGCAGCTGATTAATAATGAAACGTCTTTCACTGACACCAAATAAGCAACAACTTACAACCATTTACCGCATACAGCTTCCAACTGACTGATTTTCAACCCCTCCAAGGTCTGAAAATGAGCAGGAATCTCTGAAACGTATGTTCCGGCGATTTGTTTCCACCGCCTCTGAGTCAATTTTAAAAATCTACGACTACCTAACGATGGAAGTATTAAACTCGAGATGATATTCGAGCTTCGATTCACAAGTTTTCTGTTGCTACATCATGCTGGTAGGTGTTTCTGGTTTATGTCGGCTCGTCAGTCCGTGTCTGTGATATATCAATGCGTCATAAGTACTGAGTCAACCTACTTGACGAAATATTCAACTAAGAATCATAGACAGAGTTACACAAATTTAAGGTTTAAGGATCATAAAATTCAGAAAAATATATGTATAGAACAGTTAAGTTATCATTTACAAAAGCAACGCAGAACCTTAAAGTGATACGTACTCCTAATATCGAAATATTGCTAAAATATATAAATATTTCTCCTGTAGCAGTATGTCGGTGACGAGACCAATTGGAGCTTGTTACCCATTGCACAGTAGGCAGTGGCCTCCACTAAATATTATACTTGGGGCTTTTATCATATAATTATCCTATTGTTACCGGGATCAGAAACTTCTCAATGATAGAACGTCTTTGACTAATACTAAAGACTTTACACTTACAACCCCCTACCACTACAACCCCCAACTCGTTTCAACCACTACAAACATTTTTCTGAAAATGATCAAGAGCTTCTGAAACGTCAAACAATGAAGTCCAATCGATTGTTATCTTTTTCGTGTTTTTGCCCCTAGCTCCACTACCACTAGACTGATTTTCAAAAACTATAAAGCCTTCTTATCCTTGGCATAATAGTAACCTTGTGTGAAAATTTTAATATTATAATGGGCGGTTATAAAATTAGCGAACAGACCGACAGTCAGACAGACAGACCGACAGAAAGACAGATAGACCCTATAGGAGTGAGTGATATGGTTTTTCGTGATCTACATGTCATAACATCGAAAATACATAATATCTCAATTTCGAAATTTTTTGCGACTACAATACTTCCTAGCCAATTTTGACATAGTAAAAAAGAATCTTATTGGAAAGGTGACCAATCACCTCTGCTGACTGGAGAATCACACACTTATCTGTCATCCACCCGTCAAGACGAACGTGCTTTTTCTTCTCACACACTGACCGAATTTGACCCTCTCTCTATTGGACTACCCTCTCTGTACATACGTTAAGAATCTTAAATCATCCTGTATATCAATGTAAAATGTATCAGATTTACAAAATATCCGCAACAACAATCATCTGTGTTGGTATAATGTGAAAATTCACAAAATGGATAGCTTACTACAAACAAGAGCGCCGCTGAGGTTTTCCATAAAACTGTAATACTTTTTATCACGCAATTGGATCAAGGTTGAAACAGTTCACTGGAAATCTTATTCAAAAACAATTTCATTCATTGTTGAATAGCCTTCCTAGGTTATGGAGCCATGTTAATATTCAGAATGGCGGGAGATAAATGACTCCAGACTTTATAATACAGTGCTACAAGAAAATCTGGTATCTGATAAAAAACGTGGAAGTTTCTAGTCCATAAGGGCACGCAATGTGTCGTAATCATGCATTTCAATGTTCGTCTTTATTAGAATAAAAATAGATCGCGTCAAGTAGATCGACGCACTACGCAGCTGAGTACTTTTCACGCATTGAACTAGTTCTACTTATTTTATTTAAGTTACTAGGATAAGTGAAATATGAGAAATAAATGAATCCACAACTTCATTGAATACGCTCTTAGGGGACCGGAAAATTCAGAAGCAAACTCTTTGTACATCAGGAGCCCTCCAAAAACGTTTATTGCTACGTATAACAATTCTCTAATTTTTGTTTTACTTCCCACAGGCAAAAAAGCATTGTAATCGCGAAAAATTTTGAAAATGAGATATTAGTTTTTTTTAATATTATTTGACATGTACATCACGAAAAACCATGTCACTCATTTCCGTTGGTTGAATGAATGAATGAATCTTGAAATTAGAGGCATTCCGGCCATCTGTTTTCGCCAGAGTGTTAGCCGTCTCATTGCCCCTTATCCCAGCGTGCCCCGGTACCCATATTAACGATACCGGATGCCTCGCTGCGAGGCAATCCAAATCCTCCCTGGATTGCAATACAAGACTCGAAGTAATCTTACAGGCACTTAGTGCTTTCATTGCTGCCTCGCTGTCGGATAAGATTGTTATTCTTCTCCTAGGCCCACCCTCCACCAGAATGTGAGATACACAAGCCAGAATTGCAAAGATTTCCGCCTGAAAAATAGTGGTGTATCCACCGAGAGGCAGAGATAGCCTAGTTCTAGGCCCAGAGACCCAGCACCTGAGCCCTCTACGGTGACCGAGCCGTCCCTGTACCAGACCTGCCCACTTACTCCGGAGAGTCCCCGGCAATAAACTTGCGCTTGAAGCGATATTTGGGGGTAATACGATCACCCCTGCTTAGAAGGACGGGGTCCTCCCTTTGCAATTCGACTAAGATGGCAGTATGCCCCTTGACAGGATTCAGAAATCCCAGCTGCCCTGACTCCACAGTCGATGAGCGACTACTCTCCCTTCACCGCGGATCACCAGATCCAACGTTGGGAGATCCCACAGAGCTTCCATTGCACTCAATGGCGTTGTTCGCACTGCGCTTGTAATACTAATACAAGCCAAACGCTGAATTTTATTGAGTTTGGCCTTAGTTGTCTCAGTTCTAATGCAAGGCCACCAGACCAGGGATCCGTACAAGAGAGATGAACGTACCATCGTTGTGTAGAGCCAGTATACCACTAAGCCCCCACCTTACACCGAAAACACGTCTACATGCCCACATTGAATTGCGAGCCTTGCTAACGTTTTATTCAACATGCTCTCTCTGGTTCAGTTTGCAATCCAGGATAATTCCCAGATATTTCGCTGATTGGGATAGAACTAACCTAGTCCCAAAGAAGGTCGGCATGACCAGCCCGTCAAGCCTTCTGCTCCTAGTGAATAGGATCAGCTCGGTGTTTTCAGCATTAACAGAAAGATGACTTCCCTACACCACAATTCCACAGAGCGCAGAACGGCCTGCATAATTTCCAAGACTGTTCTACAAACACGTCCCCTGACTACTATGCTTACGTCATCAGCATAGGCTTGTACGTAGACACCGATACTGCTGAGCCTAACGAGGAGTTCGTTCACCACGATACACCACAGTAGGGGTGACAGAGCTCCGCCCTGAGGGCAGCCTCTAGCTACGCTCACGCTGCAGCTTACGTCATTCAGCATAGCGGTTGCTGCCCGACCCTCCAGAGTAGATACTACCCAATCTATTAGGATTGATCCAACTCCATGTCTAACCAAGGTATGTCTGA